CTCGCGCAGCTGCTGTGGTGAGAGAGGCTCCCGCCAGTGAGACAGTCGTGGCGAGGCAGCCGCAGGACCTCCAGCAGGCGCAGTACCCCTAGGCTTAGCACCCACAGACTCCGCACCCTCAGACTCAGCACCCCAAGGCTCTGCACCCTTAGGCTCAGCATCCCCAGACTCCGCACCCTCAGAATCAGCACCCCCAGCCTCCGCACCCTCAGGCTCAGCACCCCCAGGCTCCGCACTCGCAAGCTAAGCACCCCCAGACGCAGCACTCCCAGACGCAGCATCCCCAGGCGCAGCACCTCTAGCAGCACCTGAGTCTACAACGACCTCGACAGGCATAGCCAGGGGGAGTGGGTCTACCTGAGACACACCTAAGGGAGCAGGACCCTGAGGGGGGAGGGGGTCTACCACAGGGGGACCTGGAGCGAGGGAGAATGGCGGGGGGGGGGGAAAGGGGCACTGCGGTAGGGTAAGAGACGATAAAAGGGAACTGACTCGTCAAACGTGACGTCCTGAGAGGGGAGGACACGACGCGAGGTGGGGTGGTAAAACTGCCAGCCAAGCGCGTCAGGGGGAAAACCCAAGGAAGACGCAGGGAATAGCGCGGGAGGAGAGCTTGTCTGCGGAAGTATCGCGAACAAAGGCAAGAGAGCCCCAGATCCGGAACACCGACGCATCGCCAACCTTCCCCGTCCAACGCAGTGTAGGCGAGGTCTCCGGCAAGGAGACACGGGGCCAAAGGTTAAACTGATGCGCAGCGTACCGGACCGCAAACGGCCACAGAAAAAAGGGAGCAGACGCATGGATCATGGAGGCACGACCCACCTCCATGACTAAGCCAATGCGGCGCTCAGCAACCCCATTTTGCTGCGGGGAGGCCGGAAGCGTCAACGACTGGAGAATGCCCTCCCCACGACAAAATTCTCGCAAGAGGTCGGAGGAGAACTCACCACCTCTGTCAGAGTGCAGATGCAGGACAGGAAGGTCCTCGCGGAACCGCTCGCGGAGCTGGAGATGGACTGCGCGGATCCAAGGGATCAAGACATCAGAGACCTCACCCTTGCTGCGCAAGGGGAAGACCATGGTGTACCGCGTGTAGTCGTCAACAACCAGCAGAAAGTAGCGCTCGCGGTCCTGTCCATTGATGCGGGCTGGGCCCCACACGTCCATGTGGAGAGTCTGTAGGGGAGGAGTCTTCGGGGGAAACGGGTAGGAGTGAGAAGCGGCGCGCTACCGCCCCTCGACACAAGGAAGGCAGGGCAGGGCAGGCAAGGGCGGGAGGGGAGGCAGAGACCTGGGAAGACCAGAGACAAGGAGGCGGGAGTGCATGCCACGAAGGCGTGGCAGGGTGGGGTGACCAAGGCGGTGGTGCCATAGGAGAGTCTGGTGCGACAGGAGGCGACACGAGCAGGGGGCTGCTACCGGACCTGACGCGGACACCTGAGCAGACGCATCTACCTGAGGAGACTCAACAGACTGTGTGTACAGACTCGACCCAGGCCGACGAGTGAACGTGGCCAGGTGGCGGCCCGTCCGTGTACACGTGCAGATCGGCACACGCTGACCCCCTGGAGTGGTGGTAATGACCATCACATCCTGGAGGGCAGCGGTACTCACCAAGTTCGTAGAGAACGAGGGGAGGTGAAGACTTGAGAGTGAGCCGGACGGAACCGCCGGACACGGGAGAACAATGGAGGAACGGGCAAGAACTGGGCCCCCGGAGGGGTCAGCCAGTCTGAACGGAACAGGTGCAGGGAGTGGAGTGAGGGTGGTACTGTCGCGAAAGAAACAGCGGGAACACCTGAGTCAAGTGTGAAGGTGTGCAAGGCCTCAGCAGGTGCAGTACCAGGGAGAGCAGACTCACTAGCACCTAGAGCAGCAGCCTCTATACCTGGGTCGGGCGGCACACACAGGTAACAATCACCCTCAGCACTAACAGACAAGGCATACATGGCAGCAAGGATAGCATCATAGTCAAGAGCAAAGATATCAACTCCAGACCTAAGCAGCTCTAGCCAGCGGTGGCGCTCAGCCTCGTCTCCAAACATTGCGCGCCAAGCGTCGTCAAGGCGGGAGAAGCAGTAGTGCTGAGTGTGAAACTTCCCGCATGTCTAACCAGCGCGATCACCTGTGCGAATGACATACGGGCAGCGAACACTACCCCCAAACGCCCCACGCTGAGCAAACCACTAACGAAGCTGCTGGGGTGTAGGGGTCTCGCTCCGACACTGGTGCTGCTACCTCTGGCCATCGCCAGAACCTCCCCGCTGAACAGCTCCACCCCGTCCGCCACCACTACCGCCGCTACCACTCCCACTGCCGCCACCACTGCCACCCCCACCCCCACCGCTGCCACCACCGCCGCCACCGAAGCCCCCACTCCCGCCACCACTCCCACCGCTGCCACCACCTCCGCCACCTCCACCGCCTCCACTGCCTCCACCACCACCACCCCCCCTGCCACCGCCACCACTCTTGCCACCCTTGCCCTTGCTGCTGCGGCGCTTCCCACTAAGAGCAGTAGCAGCCCCGACATCCTCAGCACCAAGGATGTCAACAGCAGCAGCAGAAGCGTATGAGGCAGCAAGGGGGGAAGGGGAACACCCCTCAAAGAAGGGTGTGCGAGGAGTGCCACGAGCAGCACCTACAGCGACTACGCTAGTCTCAGCTGCAAGGAGGTGCTTCTTGAGCAGGTCAACAGTTAGGTTTGTGGGGTCAAGTGCGAGAAAGTGGTCCCTGGCAGCGCAAAGAGAGTCAGGGAGGCGGTTGATTATGAAGTAGAGAGTGATGTACATCGGGGGCGGGTTCCTGTCTAGGAACTCGGCTGGGAGGGCAGCGCGGTAGTGAGTGTCGCTAGTGCAAAGGTGAGTAACGAGGTCCTCGACTATGGCAAAGGCTGATAGATCGGGAAACAGGTAGGGCAGTATAAGGCGGCAAAGAGCAGCAGTGGCAGGGGAAGAGTAATGAGCGACTAGAGCGTCGTACAGGGCTTTAGCAGTCTTGTGCTTGCCAAAGTGAGCGCGTTCGGCTAACGGCAGGTTGTTGCGAACAGCTATGCGAGCAGTAGCGTCACGGGTAAGCCGTTGTGAGCGAGTCGCACTCTTCGCTGTGGCGGGAGGGGCGAGAGAGGCTCCAGACGTGTGGTCAAACAACGAAACGTTGTCTCTAGAATCGCTCAGTAGGTACAGCTGTAATTCGTCTAGCCACGTATCGAACTGGATCGGACGGCCCTCACGCGACAGCGAGCAGGGCGACGCGACAGCCAGCAGGGCGACGCGACTAGTGGGGTAGCGCTATGTGGTGGGCCGTAAAAAAAACGGTTATGGAACAGGACCTGCTCTGATACCATGTCAGAATACTGGATGAGAATGAATGCATTGAATAGAAAGTTGGTACAAGTACTAACCCTAATTAGGTTGTACCCCTTATGGGCTACCCCACTACAACCTATACAATGTAAGCATTATAACATTTTGACATTTATACCTTTGTACTCCTAGCTTAAAACTATCCTGTTCTCTTTCAACTATTATTAACAAGGTCATTACTCGACTTCATTGTCTTCTCATAACTTAATAAGTCTTATCCTATCCACTACGATTCCCGGTTATATCAACATCGTGGCCCATGACAGTTTTGGATTATGGAAAACGGTTCTCAAGGTTTACCGTTTAGCACCGAGACGAAACGAATTTGACCACAGTGAGTGTACAGAAGTGCACGATGATGTTGCCTTGAAGAAACATAATCCTTGAGCTATACATTTCCAGTGTCTTTTATATATACAGTTCATCTACACCTCCAATCAGTCTTTCTCTTGGATAATGTGTATTTCGTTCTTCGTTTTTCTGGCATCCTATCCGTCTGCCAGCTTTGTCTCCAGCTGGAAGAATCAAACCCCACGCTTCGCCCAGGGTCTATTTTTGCCAGTTCAGCCGATTTGCCTCGCCAGGCAAACGTGACATGGGATTGGATGGGCATGACGCGTCACGTGTTGCGGTTCGTCCACTTGAGTTGAAAAACGTTGAATTGTTGTTGCCCTTTTTGCAGCAGCAAAGCAACCACATCATGTTGGACAACTTTCTTGCGCATTGTCCGGGTAGGGTTAAAAAACGGGCGCATAAATTCCAGACACCCACCGACGGACAACTTCTTCTCCAGGCCAGGAAGCTTTTGCAACAAACCCTCCTTCCTCTCCCACACTTCCAGTTCCAGTTTCCTCCCCCACTCCCAGACAACTGGGTGTGTGTGTGTGTACAGTGCATGTCTTGGTTGGGGAGGGAGGAGGGGTGTGGTGGCGACGTCTTCACGACCACCAACAACTCCACCCCACACCAACCGAACCCGGCAAGAACGTGGAAACGCTGCAATTCAGATGACGAGCGGGTGGGAGGAAGCAAACCACCGCACCACACCCCCCAATCTTCCGCTGCTGTTCCCCTCGAACCTGCCAAGTCCTCAAGGGTCCACCGCCACACATCAGCATTGAGCAGCACTTGGACAGCTTATGTATAAGTTGAGGGCATCCCTTTCCTTCTCATCAATCAGGGGGTCTTGCATATTCTTTGCCATCGCTTCTATACCTCACAGCATCCCGTACACTACTTAGAAACCAGCCATTCCCAGGCTGGTTAGACGAGGCCGCCATTCTTCACCACTGCGTCCTTCGAAAGAGTCGCCGAAATTCCTCCGAAGCGCACCGAATTCGCCGCAAATCCTCTTTGGAGCCAACCAGTTATTCACCGCCGATCCTCATTCTACTCACTCGACACTCATCATTCCACCCGACCATTTCCGCGTGTCGCCCACACCGTACGTAACGCAACGACACTCCGCCAACGATTCAATAATTACATTCCGATTGGCACGTGCGCGTCTCTCGGCTCTTTCAACACCATCCTTCGAATACGAAAGTCGTTCGCATCCGTCCCTCCCGTTCCACGTCCCCTCCCATCGCCTTGCTGCGCTTCTCCGCCGCCTCCCACGCTTTCCGCACAGCCGCAATGGCCGCGACTCGTCTGCTCCCGCTTCTCCTCCTGCTCCTCGTCTCCCACGCCGTCCTCTCGTCAGCCGCACCCCGCCTGCCAAAACGAATCTCTTTGACCGTTCAAGCCCACGCGCAGCGCCTTCGAGCGCGAGCCGCGGCTTTGAGCTCGAACTCCCAGGGCCTCCTCAGTCAGTTCCGCGGCGCCGCAACCCCCGCCGCAACCGGCGGGCCCATTAAGTACTGGGGAGGTCCCATTGTCGCAGGAAACCCGACGGTGAATATCTACCATATCTACTACGGCAGCTGGCCGACGGGCTCCGGACAGGATTACATCGACAACTTCGTTAGGTCTTTAAGTAGCGACTCGGGCGCGCAGGGCTCGGCGAGCGACCCGACGGTGAAGGGGTGGTGGGCGATCTCGTCGAATTACTATCAGACGAGCAGCGGCGCGAAGAAGAACGTGAGCTCCAAGGTGCGGCTCGCCGGAACGACGTACGACAACTACTCGTACGGCAAGGCGCTCACCGACAACTACGTTCTCTCCAGTAAGCCCTTGCCTCCAAACCTTGCTTTTGAGCCGCCTCAAGAGTCGTGCTTTCCAATGCGACCTTCCTGTGCTTGTTGAGCAGAAGGACTTCGTTTCGATGCCTGCCACGTAGTTCTTTTTACTGGAAAGTCAATGGAGAAGCATTCCGTTGGTGTTAGCGCAAATGCTGCCGCCCCGTGGATGTCCTCCTCCCCAAATTTCTTGGTTTCTTGTGAACGTTTTTATGCGAAGTATGACTGCCGTTTCTCTCCCTAGTGTATGCTTTCGCCATTTCATGATAGCTTGCTGGCTTAGTAAGCTTCGACTAAACTTTTTTCTCTCCCATTATCTGCCGTGTCCAATCGCAGTCGTCAAGAGCAAAATCGGATCTGGCAAGGCCTTCGCGTACGACCCCCACGGAATCTACGTGCTTCTAACGAGCAAGGACGTGACTCTTTCGTCAGGCTTCTGCAGCCAATACTGCGGATGGCACACGGCCGGCTATATCAGTTCATCCCCATTCTACTACGCGTTCGTGGGTCACCACGGCCAGTGCCCCAACTCGTGCGGCGTAAAGAGCGCCTCCCCAAATGGCAACCCCGCTATAGACGCCACCATTTCAACTCTCGCGCACGAAATTTCTGAAGCTGCTACGGACCCCGATGTGCGGTCTGGCTGGTTCGACTCGAACGGGGAGGAGAACGCGGATCTGTGCTCCTGGAGTTACGGAACTCCACTCAGCTCAAACGGTTACAGTTACAACATGGTTGGGCTAAACGGAATGAAATTCCTGGTGCAGCAGAACTGGGACAGGCAGCTGCAGAAGTGTGTCAACCAGAATTCTCTTCCGGCCAGCAGCACCACACCTTCCCCTCCTCCCCCAACACCGTCACCGTCACCACCACCACCCACGGGAACTACCAAGATGAACTGCCAGTGCACATGTGCTAGTGGCAGCTCTCCCATGAACTGCCAGTGCTCGTGCACGCCCGTTGCATGAAGGGCAGATGGCTGACACTAAGGCTTGAGGGTGCATTCCTGGCGCGGTCACAAACCCTTGCATCACAATGGCTGGGTGCAATGCGTTGCAGAGGGGTACATTACTAGCGATTCTCTCTTTGTTACTACTCGCCAGGAATGTACCCGGAAGCTGAGTACTGGGAGGGTTATCAGTGGCCTGTACATGTAGAACTACCAAGTGAGGGTGGGAAGGAATTTGGAGGTGACTTTTTCTTGCTTATCTTCTGGCAGCATAATAAAACAATCTCGTTTTTTCTGAACGTGTTCAGTGGTTGCTTCAACGGAAATGCTCTGTCTGTCACGGCAGTTTGTATGGTAATTTATCAAGTTATGTGGGTTTGAAATAGTGTTGGCGAAACCTTGAAAACAATAATTTCGGCAAAGTCAGTGTAGCGAGAAAGAGAGATTGCTTGACGAGGGGGAAAGGGGTCTCGCCAAACATGAAGCGATGGTGAACGATACTGTGCAGCTTTGACAAATTTGCAGAACAGTGTGGGGCGACTGGAAGGAGTGTCACAAGGATAGTTCTTCAGCCAATCAGGCTCAAGTAGTGGAGAATGTCCTCGCACAATGCAACTACTAGCAAAAACGAAAACGGGAAGCACTAACAACCTCAGAACGAGTGAGGAGAAAAAATACCACTACCAATCAAGCTAACTACATGACGTGTGAAATAGCCGCAGGAGCTAACAACAAGGGAATGTGCAAACGTAGGTGACGTGCCAGAACACGTACATGCTGGGTAGCAGGAAGGAGGGGTGAGAAGAGCGCGACACCGCGCGATATGGGAGTACGTCGTGTTGCATTAGGCACATCGATTACCTCTGGCAGCGCGTAGGTCGACGGTCTCGGGGCATTGCTCCCGTATACTGGGTTCGAAAGTGCCTATTACTTAGGGTAATGCCACGCTGTGAGGCGTCCCTAATACGCAGACCCTTAGGGTTACGCAATTCTACTCTGTCAGCCACCGGGCGCCCACGGGCGGGTAGCAGCGCGCGAAATACAGAGACGACCATTCCCCTCACCGGTTTACGCGCAGCGCGCGCCACTGGTCGTCTAGCAGCGCGTCAACCCGCAAACGTCCAGCGCGCGCACTGGTCTGGTCGACAAGCAGCGTGGAGAGGGCGCTGAAACGAGGCACCACCACGCCAGGACAGGTACACGTGCTCCGCGCCCCTGCACTCTGCGCTCTGCCCCCTGCGCTCTGCGTTCTTCCCCCGACGTTCTGCCCCCTGCGCTCTGCCCCCTGCGCTCTGCGTTCTGCCCCCTGCGCTCTGCGTTCTGCCCCCTCCGCTCTGCGTTCTGCCCCCTGCGCTCTGCCCCCTCCGCTCTGCGCTATGCGCCCTGCGCTCAGCGCCCTATGCTCTGCGCCTTATGCTCTGCGCCCTATGCTCTGCGCCCTAAGCTCTGCGCCCTATGCTCTGCGCCCTATGCTCTGCGCCCTATGCTCTGCGCCCTATGCACTGCGCCCTATGCTCTGCGCCCTATGCTCTGCGCCCTATGCTCTGCGCCCTATGCTCTGCGCCCTATGCACTGCGCCCTATGCACTGCGCCCTATGCTCTGCGCCCTATGCTCTGCGCCCTATGCTCTGGTCCCTATTCCCCTTCTCGCCAAACCTCCACCTGCCCCCGCCCCTTTCCAAACCCTACCCCTCATGGTTGTCCCCTTCCTCCCTTTCCCCCACCCGTTTTCTTCCTCCCGCATGAGGCAGGGAGGGAGGGCAGGAGAAAGGAATTCGAGGGGGGAGTGTCGTCCACTGCTGCATGTCTCAACCTCTCATGTGTGTCCCGCCCCTCCCCCTCTCCCCCTCTCCCCCTCCTCCTTCCTTTCTCTCTGCCCGCCGTGCCCTTCCCCCGTTTCTCCTCGCAGGGGGGGTGGCGTGCAACATAGCGGAGTGCATGGCAGCACTCTTCGCCGTGCCCTTCCTCATCTCCGCTGTGGGGGATGGCGCTGCTGCAGGCAGGTCGCACTGCTGCAGGCAGGTCGCACTGCTGCAGGCAGGTCGCACTGCTGCAGGCAGGTCGCACTGCTGCAGGCAGGTCGCACTGCTGCAGGCAGGTCGCACTGCTGCAGGCAGGTCGCACTGCTGCAGGCAGGTCGCACTGCTGCAAGCAGGTCGCACTGCTGCAGGCAGGTCGCATTGCTGCAGGCAGGTCGCACTGCTGCTCTGCTCTGCTCTGCTCCCCATGCCACGCCCCTCCTCCTCTCCTGCTCCCCTCCAGCCTGCCACTCCCGTCCCTCAAGTCCACCCCCCCCCCCCCCTCTCACGGCCCTCTAGCCCCATAACCCACCCTTTCTCCCTACCTCTGCTGGGTGTGCATGTAGGTCCATGTCCCTATCTCTCTGTTTCTTGGCCACTTCTTCAGGCATATCATTCCTGGATCCTCTTTGCTCTGTTTCACATCTCTTCCTGACCACTTTTCCCTGTTTCCCCCACCTCCTTACCTAATTTCCCATATCTCCCCTATCCCCTTTCCACTCTCCCCTCCTACCCCTTACGTGCTCCTGCTACCTCAACTGACATGCTTCCCCTTTCCCTTCCCCCCTGCTTCCCTCTTCCCCCTCTTTCATATCTCCCATGTTTTACTATTTTCTTGTTCCCCCTCCCCATCCCTCGTATTCCCTCCCTCTCCCTGGCTATTGCAGTGACTACACTGAAGATTTTTTGGGTACTGCAAGCGCCTCAGCCCATCATCCCATGCCCCGCTCGTAGAGAAACCAGTTCCCCTCATGTTTTTTTCAGGGCCTTGAGAAAGGTACCTACAATCAAAAGTATGAGGAACATGCCTCTACCGTATGTACCCTTCTGACACTCTTAGGGTGCATTCCGCTGTGGACACTGTCCCAATCGATGTGTCCCAATCGAGTGTACCGCTCCGAACCGAACTAAACCAGAGACGCGAAAATTTCGAAACGAGGGTGCAATTTGGTGTAATACGATGCAGTGCGGTAGAAACGATTGGGACACTTTCGATTGGGACATGTCCAGCGCGGAATGTACCCTTAGTGTCCATGCAACCTGCAAGATTATATTGCACTGCAGAAACAAAAGTACATATTGTGCATTTGGGATGGATATCTCCAACAGTATTCTCATATCATGGTTGCATACAACACACAAGAACCAGGCGGTGGTACGGTGTAAAGCATCGACTAGCTGCGCCTCATCTTGCTCCTCTGCTTCACCACTGAAATTTAGGGGAGTGGAGTAGGCAGAAAGAATTGTGTGAAGAGACATGGGGGAGGTGGTGTGAGGTGCAACGTCTCAACCGCAAGGGGATACAAGCAAGCGCACATGATGAAAGCATGTATGGGGAGACAGTGATGGGTGCACATGCATGGGAACTAGAGGGCGGAAGGTGAGGAGTGAGGGGGAAGGGGAGGGCATGAAAAAGAAGGGAAGGGTTGAGAAGGGATGGGGAAAGGCAGGGATCGGGAGGGCAGGTGGGAACGGGGCAGAGGGTGGGGGGAAGGAGGGCTGAGGGTGGTGGGAAGGAGAGTGAGAGTGCGAGAGGACTGAGAGAGAGTGTGTGGGAGGAAGGAGAGTGAGAGTGCGGGAGGAAGGAGAGAGAGAGTGCGGGTGCAATGAGAGAGAGAGAGAGAGAGTGCGGGAGAAGGCGTGGGGGAGGAATGGAAGCGTGAGGGTGGGAAGGAATGTGAGAAGGTGGGAAGGAATGAGAGGGTGGGAAGGAAAGAGAGAGGGTGGCAAGAAATGAGTTAGGGTGGTAAGGAATGAGAGAATGAGGGAAGGAATGAGAGAATGAGGGAAGGAATGAGAGAGGGTGGGATGAAATGAGTCAGGGTGGAGAGGAATGAGAGAATGAGGGAAGGAATGAGAGAGGGAGGGAAGGAATGAGAGAGGGTGGGATGAAATGAGTCAGGGTGGGGAGGAATGAGAGAATGAGGGAAGGAATGAGAGAGGGTGGGAAGGAAAGAGAGAGGGTGGGAAGAAATGTGTCAGGGTGGTAAGGAATGAGAGAATGAGGGAAGGAATGAGAGAGGGTGGGAAGGAATGAGAGAGGGTGGGAAGGAATGAGGGAAGGTGGGAAGGAATGAGAGATGGTGGCAGAACGGAATGGGAGAGGGCGGGCGGAACAGAATGAGAAAGGCTGGCCAACACGCAGCGCCCGCACTTGCGACGTGCATTTTCCCAACGAGCGAGGGTGACGAGCATGGGAAATAGGAGCGACGGTGGGAACTGCCAGCGATAGGGAGTGGAAGGACACATGGAGAGGGAGATTATGGGGGAAAGCAGGGAGGGGGATGGGGGGAAGCAGGGAGGGGGATGGGGGGAAGCAGGGAAGGGGATGTGGGGAAGCAGGGAAGGGGATGGGGGGAAGCAGGGAAGGGGATGGGGGGAAGCAGGGAGGGGGATGGGGGGAAGGAAGGCGGGGAGCGCAGGGGCAAACGCGGGGCGCGGAAGGAGGCACGGGAAGAGGGAAGGGAGCAGGTGGAGCAACGGGAGGGGGTCAGGCGCAGGCGAAGGGGGAAGGCCATGGCGGGGGGAAGGTTCTAGCGGGTGGTGCAGGTGCCCGGGGGAGAGAGGATCAGGGGAAGGGGGCGGGCGGAAAGCAGGGCGCAACAAAAGAGGCTTGTCGGGTGGGACAAAGCGGCACTTCAGCAGCGGGAAAGAGCGGAACTGCTGCTGGGAGGAAGCAGGGAGGGGATGGGGGGAAGCAGGGAGGAGGGAGGGGGGGAGCAGGGTGGAGGGAGGGGGGAAGCAGGGAGGAGGGAGGGGAGAAGCAGGTGAGGCAAAGGAGAATAGATTGGGGGGTAAACAGAGCTGGTGGGAGAAAGGGAGGTTGGTCAAAATAAAGAGGGAAGTGAGGGAAGTACCCGCTCTCACCCTCTGCCCTTCACCCTCTGTCTCTCACTCTCTGCCCCTCCCCCTCTGTTCCTCCCCCTCCTTCCTTCCCCTTCTGTCTCTCCCCCTCTGCCCTTCACCCTCTGTCTCTCACTCTCTACCCCTCCCCCTCTGTTCCTCCCCCTCCGTCCTTCCCCTGTGTCTCTCCCCCTTTGTCCTTCCCCCTCTGTGTCTCCCCTTCTGTCCTCCCCCCTCTCCCCCTTGTCCTTCCCCTTCTGTCCGTGGGAAGGAAGGAGCGGGAGAGAGGATGGGAAGGAAGGAGAGAGATAGATAGAGAGAGAGAGAGAGAGAGAGAGAGAGAGAGAGAGAGAGAGAGTGAGAGAGAGAGAGAGAGAGTGAGAGAGAGAGAGAGAGAGAGAGAGAGAGAGAGAGAGAGAGAGAGAGAGAGAGAGAGAGAGAGAGAGAGAGAGGGAGGGAGGAAGAGAGGGAGGGCGGACGGAGGTTGGTTATTGGGGGGGAATCGTATATGGAGGGGATTACGACGGGTATGGGGAAGCACGCACGAAATAAAGAGGTGGGGGCGACTAGGAGAACGCGCGCGAAATAAAGAGGCGGGGGCGTTGAGAAGCGCGCGCCCAGTAAAAAGGCGGGGGCGTGAGAAGCGCGGGACTGGGCCAGAACCGCAAGGCCAGAAGCGCGTGCCCAGTAAAAAGGGGCTGGATTGGGGATGCTTGAGTCATTGCACTTTCCGACGCTGTGGGTCGCTTTCTAGAACACGCGACGAGGGGAAGCGAGTGTTGAGTAAGGAAGCGGGTGTGACGAGGGGCAGCGCGGGCGACGTAGGGAAGCGCGGGACGGTGGGGAGCGCAAGCGAGGAAGGGAAGCGCGGGACGGTGGGGAGCGCAAGCGAGGAAAGGAAGCGCGGGTGACTACGGGAAGATAGCGTGACCCGAGCAAGTGTGGGCGACGTGAAGAAGCGCGCGCAACGCTCGACGGCGAATCTAACTTGTTTAACCCGCCCACCACGCATTCCTATCACGGGCAAGTGTAGCAACTCATGCCATTTACCTACATTTGCATGTCGTGCGCTAGTACTGACGTTCCGTGTCAGGCCAGCGAAAATGGTACGGAACGCATGTTTGGCTAGAAGACCTGCTGCTCAGCTATTGGCAAGACTGCGTGTGTGAGTAGTGTTGTTCAACAAAAAAACGCCTCCACCTGAGCTATCGCCCTGCCGCGCATTTACTAGTAACGTGAGTCGCCTAGTGAACTACTTGGTCTTCAAGATATGTGAGAGGAGATCGGGGCAACCGAGTGGGCGATGGTTGGATCTGTTGTGCGACTGGGCTCAGAAACCAATCAGGATCGACTGTCGCAAGAGTTTTTCCCGGCCTCGCGAGTTGTGTTTCAAACCAAAGAGGGTAACCCTGTTTTTGGCGACTTCAAGTTCAAGAATATTGAACTTGAAAAATACCATGCTGTACTCGGGCTTTAAATACATATTGATTGACTCCTATCAAACTGTCAAACATTCATCTCAGTTGACCATACGGTCAATGTACACATGTATACCTGTCATGTCAAAGTTATGTTTGCATAATTAGACTGTAGCGAGTTGCATGCTAGGGGTACATAATTTCACTCGACACTCTCAATTGTCAAACATATTGTCAAATGTTGTAGTCTTAGTGATGTGTGTTATAGGGGGTACAAGTGTTACGGTTAGGTTTATGTACCCCAACCAACCTTAGTCAAACCAACACTTTCATTCTTCACATGGTATCACCTAGGTTAGGATCCAGTGGGATCCCGTTCCTCTCGTTCACGTCCGTAGCGCCCGAGCCTGTCCCGTACCCTAGTGCCCGTTACGCCCGTACTGTCCCTTAGCGCCTATCGCGCTCGTCTCTCTCGTGCCCTAGCGCCCGCTGCGCCTGCCGTCGCGTCGCCCCTGCTATCCCGTCCCGTCCCGTCGCCCCTGCTGTCCCGTCCTGTCCCGTCGCCCCTGCTGTCCTGTCCCGTCGCCCCTGCCGTCGCGTGGCCCCCTGCTGTCCCTTCTGTCCCGCCGCGTTGTGCCGTCCATCCCGTCCCGTCCCGTTGCATGCGCCCCGTGCGCCCTGCCCGCCCGTCGCGCCCCCGCTGCGCCCTGCCCGTCCGTCGCGCCCCATGCGCCCTGCCCGTCCGTCGCGCCCCCGCTGCGCTCTGCCCGTCCGTCGCGCCCCGTGCGCCCTGCACATCTGCGCCTGTCGCGCCCGTCCCTGCCAGTCGCGTCCTGTCCAGTCGCGTCGCACTGTCTGTCACGTCCTACGCAGGCCCTTTAGGCGTTTAGGGTTTCGACAGCAGCAGTATCCACCTCTACGCTTCCGCTATGGCGACCCCTAGGGTCCTGCGCTTTGACGCTGAGGGTAGGCTGCTCGAGTTCTCGGTCTGGCTCCTGCGTGGGCACCTCCTCCTAGAGAGTCAGCTTCAGGCACACGAGACTCTGTGAGCGCACGCTTTCGGTGACCTACCTGAGCCCGCTGGCCCTGCACCCTTAGCAGCTGACCCCACACCTGCAGACAGTGACCGTTATGCACGCGAGCGTGCTGACGTGACATCGTGGAAGTCGCGTGACGTTGCTGCCTGCATTGCCCTCAGCAGCCTCCTCCCTGAGTCTGAGGAGACCCACTTCACTCAGGTTCACACGGCTAGTGAGTTCCTGACTGCGATCAAGGCCCGCTACGCTACTCCCACCACTGTCTCTCTTGGTTGCCTGTTCCTTTCGTTCTTGTTTTCTGACCTCGCCTCGTTTGAGCGCACTGCTGACTTGATCACTCATCTGCGCTCGCTCGATTCTAGCTACCGCGCTGCTTGCACTGACGCACAACTTGCACTACTCCCTCCCCCCATGGCGATTACCATATATTTCATCGTCACTAGCCTCCCTGACCGCCTTGCCTCGGTTCGTGACGCGCTTCTTCTGAAGCACCCTAGCGAGCTCACTATCGAGGTCCTTGAGTCGGCCCTCAAGGACGTCGAGAGCAACCTCCGCTCGGTAGCCTCTGCCTCTGGTGCTGTGCCCCCTACACTGTTCCACGGGTGCACTGTCCCTCAGCTGCCCACCTTCACTACCTCCCTCGCCACTGCCACAACTGACGTGACCGCAGCTGCTGTTACGAAATCTTCGCGGTCTCGGGGTAGGAGTGGCAGGAGGGGCGGTCAGGGTGCGGGCGGAGGCGGTGGGGGTGGCGTGGCAAGCGGCGGCGGCGGGAGTGCAGGGGCTAGAGGAGCGCCTCGTGCAGCGGCCTGTGACTCCCATGCTGCAGCTGGTGGAGGTGACGCCCGGGTTCGTCAGCCACCTACTGGTCTGCCAGCCGCAGGGGGTGGAGCAGCGGCGTGGTACCTGACTCAGCGACAGCAGCATCAGCAGCAGCCCCTCCCCTCGCAGCAGCCACAGCAGCAGCAGCAACAACAGCAGATTTCGGGGCAGGGGTCAGGACAGCGTCAGCTGCAGCGCGGTGTCGTCCACCCTCCCTGCACCTATCACGTTCTGACAGGTGCCCGCCGCGGCCAGCCTTGTGGCCACAGCCACCCACCGGGTCAGTGCATTGCTCAGCTTATTGACACGGTTCGCTTGGCCTACGGCGTTGACGGCCCTGCCCTTGACTGGCTTCCCCTTGTCCAGACATGCGGCCCCGCTCTGTGGGGCATGTCGGCTTCTCTGTTGGTTGATCTCTTAGGAACTGCTCATGCTATGTATGCTGTTGCTGACTCTAGTGCTTCTGACTCTGTTTACTCGAGTGTTGTTAGCTGATATGCTAGTCTTGCTGAGGTGCCTGTTGCAAGTGTAGGTACGTGTGTAGACACTAGTCCAGGAGCTGCTCTGGAGGACGCTTCGCTGTCTTTCACTCTGGACTCCGGAGCTTCGCACGGTTTCTTCCGCGACTGCACGACACTTACCCCGCTTCCTACGCCGGTCTCTATAGCACTGGCTGATCCCACTTCGGGACCAGTCACTGGTCGCTACACTACTACGCTTCCGTGCCCGGCTGTTCCCTCGGGTTCTTTGACTGGCTTCCACGTCCCCTCGTTCTCGAGGAACTTGGTGGGCATGAGGCCACTCGTGAGTCAGCACGTGGGTGTGTGGATTGAGCCTTCTGGCGAGACTGCAGTTTGTGTCGACGGGGACACGTACGCGCCTCTCACCACCTTTACCACTGAGCTGGGCTCTGGTCTCTACACACTTAACACTGGCCCCCAAGGGCAGCAGCAGCAGCAGCAGCAGTAGCAGCGGCAGCAGCAGCAGCGGCAGCGGCAGCGGCAGCAGCTACTGCCCCCGACCCGTGTCAATGTCCCCCGTCAGGTTCCCGCGTCTCACCAGGTTGCCGCGTCTCCCCAGGTAGCTGTGTCTGGTCAGGTTCTAGTGTCTGGTCCAGTTGCTGCGTCGTGCTTCTGCCGGTCGCTTGCCCACCCCACTGTCTTGTGGCACCACCGGATGGGGCACCCATCCATTTCTTGCCTGCGCGCTATGTCTAGTCAGCCTCTAGTCTTAGGCCTCCCGCGTGTCTTGTCGTCGTTGCCGCCTTCACTTGCGCGACCCTGCGGTCCCTGTGTCGAGGGTCGGCTGCGCGCCACCCCTCACTCCTCCTCCCTTCGTCCGGCCACCGAGCCCTTCGAGACTCTCCACTTGGACGTCTGAGGCCTCGCCTCGCGCCCGGGCCCTGAGCAAGAGAGTTTCTTTCTCGTGGTCGTTGACGACTACTCCCGCTACAGCACAATGTTCCCCCAGGCAAAGAAGTGCGACGTGACTTCTACGCTGATCCGGTGGTTGCTTACCACTGCGGACACTCGTGGTCGTCGTGTCACCTGTCTTCACTCCGACCGCGGGGGTGAGTTTCACTCATGAGATTCTGTCGCGAACAGGGCATCTGCCAGTCCTGGACACTTCCAGAGTCCCCAGAGCAGATTGCGGTTGCTGAGCACCGCATAGGCTTGGTCATGGAGATCGCCCGCACCTCCATGACTCATGCCCGTGCCCCCTATTGTCTGTGGCCCTACGCGGTTCGGTACGCTGCTCACCAGCTGAACCTCTGGCCACGTGTATCTCGGCCAGAGGTTTCACCGACCAGTCTTTGGACCGGGTCCCCTGGTGCTGCGTCGCGTTTTCGTGTCTGGGGCTGCTTGGCACTTGTTCGCGACACCTCTGCGGATATGATCTCGCCTCGCGCTGTTCCATGCGTGTTCCTTGGTTTCCCTGAGGACTCCTCTGACTACACCTTCTACCACCCTCCCCTTCACCGATTTTTTTACTCTCGTGACGTCCATTTCGACGAGTCCGTCCCCTACTACGTCAGGTACCCCTGTCGAGGTCTCCCGGTTCCTCCTCCCCCTCTCTTCTTGACTTCAGCTCCCCCGGTACAGCCTCCCCCCCCTGGTCCCGCCCCGTCAGGTGTGTCCCATGCTACCCCTCCTTCCCCGCACTCCTCCTCCCAGCCTACAGCAGACCCTGCTGGAGCCGGTTTTCGTGGCGAGGACCCTGGAGGTGCTAGCTCTAGAGGTGCTCGAGTTGGAGTAGAGAGTGTAGCTGTGCGAGGTCCTGGTTCTGGGGGTGCTGGAGTTGGAGCTGAGCCCGTGACTACAGGAGACTCTAGTCTTCGGGGAGCTGGTGTTAGTGGAGCTGTCCCTGGGGGTGCCACGACTGGGGGTGCGCCCTCTGCCGGACCTAGAGAGCCTGGGACGGACCCTGTTACTTCTGGTGGTGCTGGCTCTGGGGGTGGTGTGACTGGTTCTTTGGAGAGCGGTCCTGGGGCTACCACCGCTCCGGACACTACTCCTCCCCCCCACCCCTACCCGACCCGGCGCCAGGCCCGTGTTCGCCGTGCCCGTGAGGAGCAGCTGGAGTTGGAGCGAGAGGAGAGAGAGTTGGAGCGGCAGCAGCTGGAGCTACAGCGGCTGGAGGAGCAGCAGCAGCAGCAGCCAGAGCAGGAGCAAGAGCATCCGCAGCACCAGCAGCAGCAGCAGGAGCAGGAGCAGCCGCCGCAGGTGGAGGAGCAG